ATTACCTTTAGCAAAACTTTTCTCTCATGGGATATCAGAGATTGTCCTATGTTTTCCTCATTCCACTGAGAACAATAGGCATTCCAAAGCACTTAGTTGTAGTTCTTAGAAAACTGTACGTAGATCAAGAGCAGTTGTTCACACAGAACAAAGAAATACTAAAGACTTTAAAATTAGGAAAGTTGTGGGACAGGGTTGCATCCTTCCACCATACTTATTCAAGATGTATGCTGAGTAAATAATTGGAGAAGCTGGATTATAAAAAGAAGAACATAGTGTCAGGATTAGAGAATGACTCATTAAAAATCTGTGATATGCAAATGATGCAACCTTATTGCTGGATTCAAAGAGAACTTACTTACTGATATTGATCAAAGGCTACAGACTTCAGTATGGATTTCACCTTAATGTAAAGAACATGAAAATCCCCACAATTGAATCAATAAAAAAATCATGATAAACAGAGAAAAGATCAAAGCTGTCAAAAACCTCAATTTTCTTGGTTCCACAATCAATGATCATGGATACAGCAGTCAAGAAATCAAGGGATGTATTGAATTAGATAGATCTTCTACAAAAGACCTCTGTAAAGTGCTAAATAAGAATGGATGCATTTGAGTTATGGTGTTGAAGGAGAATATTAAAAGTACCATTGACTGCCAAAAGAACAAACAAATCTGTGTTAGAAGAAATACAGCCAGAATGCTACTTAGAAACCAGGAAGACCAGACTTTGTCTCTCATACTTTTGGCATATTGTCAGGAGGGACCAGTCCCTGAAGGATATCATGCTTGGTAAAGTGGAAGGTCAGCGAGCAAGAGGAATAAGCCCAACAAGATGGTTTGGTACAATGGCAGCTGCAATAGTCTCAAGTGTAGCAACAATTGTAAGGCTGGTGCAGAACCAGACAATGTTTCATTCTGTTGTACATAAGGTCACTCAACAGTACCTAATAACAACAAAATGCTAAAGAACAAAGATGTCAGTTTGAGGACTAAGGTGTGTCTGACTCAACCCACGATATTTTCAACAGACTCATATACATGTACAAACTGGAGTAAGGAAAACCATAGAAGAATCAGTGCATTTGAGTTATGGTGTTGATAAAGAATATTGAAAGTGCCATGGACTGCCAGAAGAAAAATTATAGTGAGGCTTCATTTCTATCCTTTGGACACCTGGGCAGGAGGGAAAAGTCCCTGGAAAAGGATATGCATGGAAAAGTAGATGATCAGTGAAAAAGAGGAAGACATCCAATGTGATTGATTGACATAGTGGCAGCAACAATGGTATCAAACATGACAACAATTGTGAGCCAGGTTCAGAACCAGGCAGTGTTTTATACTTTGGTGCAGAGTGTCACTATGAGTTGGAACCAACCGGATGGTATCTAACAGCTATAACATAAGAATCTGATATTTCTAGTGATTTTGAACCTGTGTATACTGTTGGTTTTGTAATGCACTTCAGAACTCTCCCAGAGAGTTTTGATGACATGTCAGTCCATTTCCATCTTTGTTTTCTCTTTCCTGTATACATCAAATAAATTCTTTTTTTTTCTGTCATCACTATAACTTTGTGGTAATTTTCACCTAGGACACCTTCTTATCTATATTTATGTCTTCCTCCTTCTTTCTCTATACTTCCTTTCTTGTCTTTTCCTATTATAAGTTTCCAAGAGAACAGGATAATCATTAGAGTAACTGTAAAGATACCACTGATATC